AAGTAGTGCTTAGTTCTGGATTAGTTCTTCCAAATTCTTACCTCAATTGCAAAAAAGATACATTTCTAAAAATTCCGTACTCCTCTATCAAGTACTCTCATAGCCTACATCTGCACGAAGTGCATTGGACTGAATTATCTTGCAAAGCAAAATTGCAGTATAAATAGACGATATGTTTGATGATCTGAATTTTAGGACCAGTTGGGCTATTAAAAACAATCACAAGGAACGTTTTGTTGTGGAAACAGTGAAAGAATGTGTTAGGAACACTCGCGATCGGTTAGCGATATTTTGAGATGACAGTTTAAAAACACGGAGATATAAATCGAGAGACCACGCACTTCTTAGTGTGCAATAAATATCAAATACTTTTTTCAATGGGTGGTACTGTAGCTCTCCGGTCTGTGATTTTCTTTCGGAGAGCTACAGATCTGCAGCTACTGTGTAACAAGAAACAAATCAAAATATAATTTGAAGAGAATTGCGAGGTATTTTCCTCTTATGGTATGGGTACTTAAGGATAAATATAGTTCAGTTTTTATACATCAAATAAGTTACAAAATGCATTGTCGTGTTGCTCACTCTTTTCTTTCCAGTGATTTTCAAAGGGGTTTCACCTGGATTAAAATTTTTGTATATGCCAGTTACTTGAGGGTGATTTCACATTTTACTGGAAGACGTCACCTCGATTCAGTACTTTCAGTACTTTGATTGTTTTTTGATTTCTTTTTTCAAAATGGCGCTATATAGGGGTCAAAAGTTAGAACGCTTAAAAGAGCGAAAATTTACACATATTTTCCTTTTTTCTTCTAAACTAAAATTATTTTGATAAGTTATATACAATGAAAGTTGTACACAATTATTAGACCTTTCATCTGACACTAATAAGAAAGGGCTAGCCTATAAAATTAGGGATCTGGGGTCCTTTAAAGTTTTTGCTTTTTAACTAAAAAACCGGTAAATATTTCAAAATTGCTGACGTATATAAATTTGTTCTTGAAGATCTTATTGATCTCATGACCCTGATACTTTGTTTGCGTCGTGTGTTTAATATGAGCAAGAAGCACGGTAAATATTCTATATACAGTTAAATAATTGTTTCATTCCGCACGTAAACGAGAGCTCCTCGTGCGTGTAACTAAAAAAATGTTACTATTCTCAACTGTGGATGATTGACCCCACCTTTGCCAATTTTATAAGATTCAAACTATACATTGTATACTCTCTGTATTTACATGTTAAATTCTGGATTTTGTTTTGTATGAAGAAAACTGTATATACATGTTTTACAATTGTTTTCGGCAAACAATAGTTAATATATAGTTTGTGTTCTATTATTATTATACATGTATGTAAGAAATATTTTATAGGTGTAAAGAACAACTGTCCATTTTGTTGGTAACCTTTGATTCTTATATTAACTACAATTTTGTTTATTGATCAAAACCTTTATTTTGATCAATAAAATTCAACTTCAATATACATTTGTCTTTTGTCCTTTTTCATTGCATTTTGGGAAAAGAGGAGGCATAAATGCAATTTATGTAAATAAATTATTTTATGACAACGAATTTCCATGATATACATTTCTCACCCTTGGTGAGCCTTTAAATTGAAGGACAAAACTGTCAGCGAGTTTCCAACTTCTATGTAGGCAGAATAGACATCTCTACATGTTATATTTCAGAAAAGTGACATGGGTTTTGAAAGGGTCACCAAGTGAAGAAAATAAACTAACCAGAAAAGAATTGACGGGGGGGGGGGGACGGAGCTAAACTGCAACAAAATGTAGGGGGTTACTGGACTTTCAATTAACATTACTATATAGTAACAAGAGATCCAGTGCGACATCGCTCACTTACCTGAGCACTGTGGCTAGGGAAAAAACAACAAAGTCAGTAAAGTATTGAAAAGTTTATATGCTAAAGTGGTACCAACATATCAATATATCAAACAACAATTATTAGAATAATAATTGTATTTATGTATTTAATGCGATAATTTGTTTGGAGGTTTCCGGAAACATTTACGTTGGTAAATTGTGGAAAATTCTCAGATACACGCCTTGCCTAATAGATTAATTGCAATAGAATGTGTAAGGTCACGGGGTCAGCTCAGCGAGTCATTCATACTCGCGTGCTCACCACCGCTAACATGAGGCACGTCTATTTTGAGGATTATTGTTCAATTTGGTCAATTTGTTTTGATGTGCCATCTTTTTGCTAACTTTTTAATATGATGTTTTGATTGTCTTGTTCTTCATCTTCTTTAAATTGAATTAGATTGTATATCTCTATATCTTATAGATAATTTGTCAGAGAGTAAGAATTCTATACAGAGTTCAACATGGCCATGTGATCCTAAAACCTGCGTCATGTATGCAGCAAACAATGCAGTTGATGGAAACCTCAGTACGTGTATGAGAACTGATACGATCGGTTCGACCTCTACATACCAAACATTGTGGTGGAGAGTAGACCTCGGATACATTAAGAGTATCTACAGTATCAGGATAAAGTTTAAAGACTATGGAACACAAAGTCGTATGTAGCGATTATATTAGATAAGTACTAATGAAGGTCTGTTTGGTACAATGGTATATTTCTGCCCCCTAAATGCAAGAACATTATGTAAACATGCAGGAAAATTATGTCGTCATGCAAGATAATTATGTTGACATGCAAGTTACAAATCTTTTAAGAGAATTTGAAATGGGAAAAATCCCGTACTGACGCTCCTATCTGATATCGTAGATGCAAGATGCAACATAATTATTTCAAGATGCAGGTACTTATGTTGAAATGCGAGATAATTATGTAGACATGCAATATATTTTTGTTAACATGCAAGATATTTATGTTAACATGCGAGATAATTATGTAGACATACAAGATATGTATGTTCACACGAAAGATGATTGTTAACATGCTACTTATTTATGTCAATATAACCAGTTAGCTTTTTGCTCATAAGTTGTAAATTAATTCCTGGGCTAAATCCGTCGTTTTGCGTAAACGGGGAAGAAGGAATGTTGGCGGGTATAACAAAGTAGTGGCGCTATGGGGCCGTAATAAACGAAAAGGGTAAAGGTGCCGTATTCCCTATGGTCTTCCAATATAAGGTCCAAGAATTGGTTAATCAGGTTTCCGAATTTATTTAGGACGATGGTAAATAACAAACATGAATTCTAACAATATCTTAGGGACTTAATCGAGTTGGATGTGGCCGGTAGAGCGTCGGGCCTCCAAACTGAAGGGATTATAATGGACATAGATATTTGTATGATTAAGAGTAAACTATAATTGACTTTTGACACTAGTTGAGTTAATTGATGGACGGCTGTGTTTCTTTGATAAAATTGACATAAAAGAGGTTATAGAGAAATTGTACAAATAAAGTTATTGGTAAAGGATTAACAAATCCCGAGGCATTAACACCTAACGAGCAAAAGCTATTTTGACAGAGTCACAGTGTCAGTTGGAATGTCTTAATCCTATTTCAAAGGGAATGAGATAAATAAGACACAATTTACTACAAATAAGCACATATTAAAATCAGATAAACAATTTCACAGATAAACGTCCGAATTTAGTATAAAATATTGAAAAGTTATTTTAATTAAAAAATTTTTAATTTTGCTCGGTGATAATATCCTTCGGCCTCCGGGAAAACACGTCCTCGTGTTTTAGAAAGTAACATCCTTAATAAAATGGTTGGTTATGTCCGTGGAAGTTGTTGTACGCGGGAAAAGGGTTGGGTCCGTTTTGTCTCATGCGCTCAATAGTGTACTGTAAGCTTTCTATTTCCTCGTATTGGTCTTCGATTTGATCACGGGGATTTCCGATTTCTTGGCTTTGAGAGTTTATTGTGAAGCGGAGGGAATTAATCTCCTGAATTCGACCATCAACGTGAAAGCGGAGACTGCTGATGTTGGTTTCCTGCCTGTCTATCTGCTCCCGTTGTCTCCTCATGTCGTTGTCTGTTGTGTATAGCTGTGATGACAACATTAAGATTTTCTCGGTGTGCTTCTTATTCTGGGCAGAAAGGTCGAATATACGGTCTGAAGCTATTTTGTTGTTCTTGTTTGCATTGTTTAGTTTAATTTTTAGGCCGATTATTTCCTGCTGTACTCCAGGTTTAGGTTTCTGTAGATTTTGAATTGTTGTTTCTAGTTGTAAGACTTTCGCGGCACTTTCTTGTTGAACGGAGATAAGTTGTTTCGTTGTTGAGTTAAAGTTTTGCTCGGTGGTTTGCAGTTTCTGAAGCAATTCATTGATCCGGATAGTTGAATTTCTTAGTTGTTCTTTTGTTTTTGAAATTTGACATCGCAGGGATGAAGTAATGTCCACACATTTGTAGAAGGCAGCTTGTCTGAGGTTGTAGAATGGTAATTCTCTCAGCCATTGTTTTCTGTCCAGAAAATTACGAACTCTGTTTGCGTCACGCACTTTGCTAGAATTTGACTTTTTAGATGGCGCTTGACAGTTTTTAGCATAATGTCCATATTTTCCACAGTTAAAACACACTGATGGAGAAGGCTTTTGATAGGCACGACTGTACTGCTGCCGATTAGAATTTGTTAACATCCATGTTGGTCTAAAGTAAGAATCCATCTTGTTGTTTGATGTTTTGGGGAAATAAATCTCATGGGTACACAGGCAACTTAGCCACATATGATTCTCATATGAGTATCATATGATTCTCATATGATTGGTTTCATATGAGAATCATAGAAAAAGGGCATCATATGTGAATCATATGAAGCAAATCATATGATTTACATATGATCCACATATGTGAATCATATGAAAATATCTACATATGATTTTCATATGAATGATTTCAGTGTGTTTCAAGCCATTTACATATGAGAATCATATGAAAAGGGCATCATATGTAAATCATATGAAACACTTGTGTGTTTCAAGCCATTTACATATGAGAATCATATGAAAAGTACATCATATGTAAATCATATGAAACACTTGTGTGTTCTTTTTCAATATTTTTCACATTCTTGTACACATTTAAAAATCAGATATTTCTGCTTTAGATGAAAATTCATTACATTACAATGATCTATCTTCATTGGTTAAATATTTTAAAATATCTTAAAATGCTTACACAACTTTTTTGATAAAATTATTTTCATCAAGAGAAATAACTTATTTTTCACAGTGTACATTCTAAACAAGAAAATATACAAACAAGTCAGTAGCATTTGTCGATACATGTATTAAACATATTCTAACATGAGTACAAATTATAAGATTTCAGCAAAATGATTTAGTAGTTAAACATGTATACTGTACATGTACAAATGAATAACATAATTAGGTAATGTATAAAAATACCATATGACATGAAAGTGTCCAACGCAACATTTAAATATCAGCAATAACATTTGTCATGTATTCTCTATTGTAAATTTATGAAAAATCAAGTTATTGATTATTCCAGCATACAATATGGGAAATCTTCACAGGCCAAATTCAGACAAGATTGTGTACATCCTCCCCATTTCATAATTATTCCATATATTTCCTTGCTCTTTTTCCTTCTGTATCTTTCAGTTTTTTCAGTTGTCCTCCCTTTGATCTTCCATGACCATTTTGAAAATCTCTTTGAACTGTACCGTACCAAAAATGAATATCCACCACTTCTCCTTTTCCTGAACAATTTCTTTGCGGCACTGAATAGTCTCTACAAAAATTTCAAAAGTAAAAATAAAATAATTCTTAAATTCTATGAGTTATAAAAGTTACTTAGGTATAATCAGCAAACAAATGTATGCCCAATTCACTGACACAGATATGATACAAGATAAAACTAATGTTATATATGTTATACTAGGTGTTTTGAGGAATCCTATGATGTAATTTGCAAAACAATTACACTATTGAAAGATATGCTTCATAATAAAATCATAAAAAGCATTTTTTTTGTTATTTTGACAATCAAATTTGGAATGTTCAAACAGTATATATTAATTCAGATTGTCAAAAAATTAAGAAAATTCTGATACAGATACATGTATTATTTTTGGACAAAAAATACTACAGACAAGTAGACAGGCAGAAAAACAGACATTGTGATTCCAAGATATCCCAAACTTTTGGGAAGACTATAACAAAGTTTATTTAACAGTGTGTAGTTACCTTAACTTTGAAGCAAGCCTTGGATCTTGGCATTTGTTCTTTATCTTATGAGAGGCTGACTGTATATTGAACCTGTAAGACAAATACTAACAGTCTCACACAGTAGATATTTTCTAAGAATACATTTAATTAAAACTTAAACTATCAAAAAGAGAGAGTACAAGTTTGTAGGTTCTCTAGTATAGTCTTAAATATATCTAACATTTAACCCGAAACTATAGGCACGCACATCATTCACTAGTGTTGGGGGAAAAAAATAATTGTCAGTAAATGAATACATAGATGTAAATATTCAATGGATTAGCTAGCTGATGTTCTTTTAACACACATGCTCATGTATTAGTTTCATAGCCTTTATAGCCAGCAAAATCTATTCATACTTTGCATATTTTAAGTGCACTGGATTAAAATTATAATGTAGAATAAAATTTCTAGAGTATTGAGTTGAGTTGAATTTATTTTTGATGAAGCCATGCAAACAATGTAGAAAGAACAAAAAGAAATTATCAAGAAATATTTTGTCATAAAGAGACATTACAGATACTTCGATTTTTTATTTCAAGTATTTATTTTTACCTTCAATATTGTGATGATGCAATCGTCTGTCAAATCAGCTTCAGGATCAATCGCCAGTCTTATCAGCTTCGGGCTCTTTGGACTGAAAAAAAAACAGCACTGTGACACTGAACTCAAGTTGCCAAATGCATCTATAGGCCATAAAAACAAACATTTGTCATTAAGTTTAAGAAGGAATCCGGGCTTGATAACGATCTCAACATACATAACGCCAACTGACATACAAGGTTTCTACTTTCACTTTCATATCAGTACGTAACAAATCGAAAACAAATTCAAGTTTTTAAAAAAGTAGTAATGCCTTTAGCCTAACATGTAATGTTTACATTCATTCAGAAACAAATTTTATCCAAACTTACTTACAGATCACGAACGTTAGGTTTACGAAATGCATTGATTTAACAATTACATGCATGATGCAAGTGATAAGAGTATATAGAGAGTTCATACGCACCTGTAACAATAATGAAATTATATTTAAACAATGTGAATCAAAAGTCTTTAAAATAATATTGTTAGGAGATCACTTGCCTTTTCCAAACACCCAACACGTCTGCTGCAGCAGTGACGTCAAAAATGACGTATATTTTCATCCGATAAAAGACAAAACCGACCCGGAGAAAAATACGGAATTATTTTAATTTTACTTAGCCAAACCCAAAAGATTTAAAATGAAAAGCAAATTAATTTATTCTTTATCTATTTTGTCTGGGAAATGCATTATAACAGAAAAAAAAATTGTGAAAGGTTTTTTTTAGAAGGAAAGAGGGGGGGGGGGGGTAGGGTAAACAGAGTAGAACTATACATATAATTAATTACTAACAAATTCTTTTGAATTAATGTACATTTAAATTTATCTTTTGATATATATTATTGAAATTGCAATTTTCCTTCAGTATAACAAGGACAGATAAGTGAACACTGTTTCATATGATTCTCATATGATCACCGTTTCATATGATTCTCATATGATCACAGTCAAAACATTCGTATGAATTTTACCTGTGTATAACAAGGACAAATTAGTGAACGTTGTTTCATATGATTCTCATATGATCCGTTTCATATGATTCTCATATGATTATTGTCAGAATATTCATATGATTCTCATATGCAGTATCTTTCATATGAGAATCATATGTATATTACTTCATATGATTTACATATGTGTAATCATATGATTCTCATATGATTTGCCACATATGATTCTCATATGATTGTATATACATATGATTCTCATATGATCCACATATGATCCTCATATGAAAGGCAATACATATGTGGATCATATGTGGCTAAATTGCCTATGTAGAACACGTCGTTGGCGTAGTGAAAGGTACAACACAAAGGGGAACGTCCCGATTCTATCACCAATTATAACCAGTTAGATTTTTGGGTCATAAGTTGTAAATTAATTCCTGGGCTAAATCCGTCGTTTTGCGTAAACGGGGAAGAAGGAATGTTGGCGGGTATAACAAAGTAGTGGCGCTCTGGGGCCGTAATAAACGAAAAGGGTAAAGGTGCCGTATTCCCTATGGTCTTCCAATATAAGGTCCAAGAATTGGTTAATCAGGTTTCCGAATTTATTTAGGACGATGGTAAATAACAAACATGAATTCTAACAATATCTTAGGGACTTAATCGAGTTGGATGTGGCCGGTAGAGCGTCGGGCCTCCAAACTGAAGGGATTATAATGGACATAGATATTTGTATGATTAAGAGTAAACTATAATTGACTTTTGACACTAGTTGAGTTAATTGATGGACGGCTGTGTTTCTTTGATAAAATTGACATAAAAGAGGTTATAGAGAAATTGTACAAATAAAGTTATTGGTAAAGGATTAACAAATCCCGAGGCATTAACACCTAACGAGTAACAGTTATTTTGACAGAGTCACAGAATGTCAATTGGAATGTCTTAATCCTATTTCAAAGGGAATGAGATAAATAAGACACAATTTACTACAAATAAGCACATATTAAAATCAGATAAACAATTTCACAGATAAACGTCCGAATTTAGTATAAAATATTGAAAAGTTATTTTAATTAAAAAAAATTTAATTTTGCTCGGTGATATCAACATGCGACTTAATTATGTGAAGACGTGAGTTATATTTTTACATAAAAGATATTTATATCAACATGCAAGATAATAAATTGAATATCAACATACATATCTTGCATGTTAACATAATTATCTTGCATATTGACATAAATAAGTCGCATTTTGTCATAATTATCTTGCATGTTGACATAAATAAGCTGCATGTTAGCATATTATCTTGCATATCGACATAAATAAGTTGCAAGTCTGCATAATTATACTGCAAGTTGGCATAAATAAGTCGAATGTGTACATTATTATGTTGCATCTTGCAACTACAATGTCAGATATGAACAGAAAGTAAATTTAACCATATTTTAATCATATTTTCCCATAAGATTAGTAATTTGCAATCTTGCATGTTGACATAAATATGTTACATGTCTACATAATTATGTTGCATGTTAACATACTGTAAATGTATTATATTTGGCGTGAACGATATTTGGCGGAAATTGAATTTTCAACAAGTTGGCGTGGATTTGATTTAGCGCTTTTTGAATGTGCGTTACATAAACCTTTATTCACAAAGCATTTAGCGATGTACTTGATTTAGCGGATGCTGCTTTCCGCGAAAGGCGCTAAAAAGAATACACAGCAAAATATAATACGTTTACAGTAATTTATCTCGGATGTAGGGGCCAGAAATATGTCACCATAGATTGGTTCTCTTAATCATTGTATTTTTCTAAAATCCTAAAGATTTCCATGTTTTCTTCCACTGTTAATCGATTTCCTCGGTTAGGTTAATTTTGCATTCATTTCGTCTTTTGATAGAATCGCAACCGTTAAAAAACTTCTGTGACGTCACCCATTGTTATTAGTCTAAGTATATTTTACCGATTCAACCAGCACTAGTTGGATATTCAAAATATCCAACTGGCCATCGGTTGGATATTCAAAATATCCAACTGCTTATCGGTTGGATATTTAAACACCCAACCGAGGTGCAGAAAACATAAAACAATGAAAAAAAGAGATAAAATGATTTTAAAATGTATTTCCAATGCATATGAAAA